TTTTTCCGCCCGTTCCACGTGGTCCGCGGCCATTTTTCCGCCCGTTCCATGTGGTCCGCGGCCGTTTTTCCACCCCTGACACATGGTCTGCGGCCATTTTTTCCGCCCTGCTGTGTGGTCAGCGGCTGTTTTTCTGCCCCTGATGAGTGGTCCGTGGACGCTGGAATGGATTAACGGTAATTACATTGAACCTTATGGGAAAATTTACTTCGACTTGCGACCAACTCGACTTGCGATCAGAGTCATGGAATGGATTAAGTTCGTAAGTAGAGGTACCATTGTAACTCATAGGAATAATACTATGAACCTCCTTCTTTTACAGATTGGCCAGGGCTTCAGCAAACAAGTTGGGACATTCTCCACAGTCAGGAGACCATTGGGATCCATAGGTGTTCATGTTGGACCAGTTGTCCATCAGTGCAGAGGTTTATAGCAACCACCAGTTTAGAACTGATCAAAGAATCAAACCATTATGCTGATGGATCTAGGAAAGCTGCATTTTCAGATCACTGACTCCAAATGAACAGAATGTTAAGTCCAGTATATGTCCCATTACATGTGTCGAGCCAGATACCAGTTGGGATAGGTGTTGTGGCAGGCATGAAATATAGAGTTGTTCTTGACTGGGCAGTGGATACTGAAATTCTCCAGAACAAGAAGGCTAACATGGGCCAGTCCAGTGATAGTACCCTTACAATGTCCTGTCACCCATTCAGACTAGCAAACACTCAATATTGGAAGACTGTCGGATGGATTTCCTATAGACTGTAGCCATTTCCTCACTATTCAACCCTAGCCTGGGCTATTACAAATATCTCCTCTGTTTGACAGGGTTCCACAACCCATAATACACCCCAGCTTTGTGTTTTCATTCAGGATCGAATCTCTGATAATAGATAATTTACCAGCAACTGAATTAACATTAAAAAGCAGAATATTCACATTGGAGGGCACATCTTTGCTGTCACTTAGATTTTCTTGATCAGACTTCAACCCAAAAGGAAAGGAGGACATCTAGCTTTCTCTCTAGAAATAGTTTCTCTCTTATTATTAATGTGAATCTGCCTGTCACAAAGAGATATAAACAGTAATTTCTTGTATTTATTTATCTTTTGGGTATCCTTCATAGACAAAAGAATAAGTTCTATGTTCATAGTATGGATTGTATGAAACTTTCTCTGATGAAGAAAATCCAGGGTTATTAACTATTTCATAATCTGTCATAAGAACTGATAATAAAAACAAAATCTGAGCTGTAGATAGAGGTGTATAATCTGTTGTGTCCCACTTTGCATAAAAGTGTCCTTTAACTCCTTCTTTGTCTGGATTTTTGCAGAATACAGCAAGCTCCCCTCCACCAGAAACACTCTCAGACCATTTATCTCAGTAAGTTTTGAAAGCTATTTTTGATGCTTTAGTTCATGTTATGGAGTGCTGGAAATAACATCTCTAGATCTTGAAGGGTTATTAATGGCATGTCAGGATAGGAATTTCATGTGTCCTCTCCTTAGATTTGTGGAATCCAATTGATGTTGTTCACCCTATTATAAGTGTGGATTAAAATCAACATGGGCAAAAGGCCGTTGAAGTGAAGATTGCAACATTTAGAACCAAAGGTTGGAGGGTTGATCAACCAATTTTTTTTCAAAAAAAATCACTCCTATGGACTCATTTCTCTATGCATGCTACACAGAAAAGCAACACTGGCTTAGCCCTGAAAGAGAGGAGGGGATGAGAAGATCCAAGATTCTCTTGGGTAGAAGGCAGGGTGAGGGGAGAGAGAAACTCTTCCAGGCTTTGAAGATTCTGTTATTATTATGGTCGAGCTAGCATTTTGCTTCCTTTGAGAAAGCGGGGGGGGGGGGGGGGG